CAGTTTCTTGCGGGAATACTTCAGTCGTAGTTTCGAGGCGAAGTGGGTTTTCCTCAGAGATTTTCAGATGCTTTTATGAATGATTTCTGCTTCAATGTCACCTTTGAATTCTAGATTAAGCAGAAGTATCTTCTTCGAGAAGGACTGGACTTGTTCGGAAGTCTTCTAAGATTTGAGATTCTTGTCTATGAACGTGGGCGGGAAACCGTTTTTCATCAGGGTTTTTCAGAGATTACGCAGTTCTTCTTCAATCACTTCCTCGCTGCGTATCTTCCGAATCCTCAAGGAAATAGCGTATATCAGGTTCCTCTTTCTGCTTAGGGGCACGAAGTTTTCAAAGTTGATAAATTGTCCATTCCATATAGGCTTTTTGTATATGGACCTTTTCAGAGAGTTTTCGGTATTTATTGTCAGATGAACATCGAGGAAGTGGAACATTCCGTCGGATTCAGTCTCAAGAGTAAAGTCAATATTTTGGTGGGCATTGTTGAAGTTTTGAAGTAATTTTTCAAGGTCCAGGTTCTCATCACAAACGATGAAAGTATCATCAATGTATCTCGTGTGAAGATGGAGATCAGTAATGGTCGATGATAAGAACTTGTTTTCGAGGCTGACCATAAAACAGTCTCCCAAGAGGAGTCCCAGTGGAGAGCTCGTTACTACGCAATCTGTTTGCCTGAAGATTTCATCGTTGAATCTGAAGTAGACGTTGAAGATACAACGTGATAACAGCTCCTTCAGATAATGTGCAGGTATCACGACATCTATGCTGTTGCATTGGACGAAGACTTATTGCTACATTCGAATGTATTATGACAACAGACAATCGACTTTTCTGTTCATCAAAAACACTTAATCTTCAAACATACATTAATGAATTATTCCATTTCTATTATGTGCTGGCACTGGTTAGAGAACTATTGATAAATCTGGGAGTACTTGACAGCTGTTTCGTCCTAGTTTGGGACTCTTCACAGTACGCACCCACCAGGGTTCGAACCCAGCACAGAATTGGCAGAAGTTAGAATTCACGGTCTGGCCATTGGAGCGGGTCCCAGTGGCCGCTGAATGGTCTACGAGCTCGCTGGTCTTGTAACCAGAAGGTCTTGGGTTCCAACTTGTTTTGGTGGGTGCGTACTGCTGTTGAAGTGTCCCAAACTAGGCTGACAGAACAGCTCTCCAATACTCCCTGCAGGTTTTTCAATGGTTCTCTAACCAATTTTAGCTCATGATGAAATCCTGTGACCAATCAATCAAATCCAATACTTGAATATTCCATTTTTGTTCGACACTACTACCAGTTTTATAATGTACCACAATCATCCTATTGTAGATTTCACTAAGTTTCAAATGGTTTATTCTAAGTTTATACCGTTACGCATAAATATTTATCATTGACAGTTTGTTTCAGATAAGTATATTATTTCAATAAAAGTTACTATTAATAGTAATATTGACAATAATAATAATAATGATAATAATGGTGTACTACTTGTAGACAACTTCAGTCAAATTACATGACAATCATTGAGATCATTATAGGCAGAACACATGATATCTTGTAAACTTTGTCTAACTACTTTAACACAGTTAGTCACAGGCATCCATTTACACAAATACATGGAGATACATACTCCCTGCACAAAACAATCATTCCTTCCTTATTTATCAGCATTGTTATTTTGTCTTGACTATCCATCTGTAATGCTGATATTTATCGTCATTATTACTATAATTATTGTTATTTATTATTGTTAATGTTAGTGATATTATTTTTGTTTATTGTGTGTGTCATATGAATTGAAACAGAAAACGTCATATTCAGTAAACAATAATAACGTATTAAGTCATCAGGAGACAGGTGAATTAAAAATTTGATTGAAAGTAGATAAGTAGATAAATCTGTGAACAAAGTCTACTAGTGTTGAACATGAGATCATGGAAAGTAAGTGAAAAAGTAAGTCGTTTCTATTCCTTCATCATATCTCGGATGGTTATTGGTTTAAACACTCTTATGGCTCAGATTTTATTCTAACTTTATTTGTAATTTCAGATGATTGTTTGATTTTTTTAAGAGTGATTAATAGGAAATGAAACGAAAGTATGTGCATTGGACGACAGAGTTCGAACCAGTGAACTCACGGATAACTACTACGGCTACTACTACTACACACAAGTAATTAAAACCATTCTCCACTGGGGAAGAAATGATTCGCATCTAACTAACTAACTAACTAACTAACTAACTAACTAACTAACTAACTAACTAACTAACTAACTAACTAACTAACTAACTAACTAACTAACTAACTAACTAACTAACTAACTAACTAACTAACTAACTAACTAACTAACTAACTAACTAACTAACTAACTAACTAACTAACTAACTAAAACTAACTAACTAACTAACTAACTAACTAACTAACTAACTAACTAACTAACTAACTAACTAACTAACTAACTAACTAACTAACTAACTAACTAACTAACTAACTAACTAACTAACTAACTAACTAACTAACTAACTAACTAACTAACTAACTAACTAACTAACTAACTAACTAACTAACTAACTAACTAACTAACTAACTAACTAACTAACTAACTAACTAACTAACTAACTAACTAACTAACTAACTAACTAACTAACTAACTAACTAACTAACTAACTAACTAACTAACTAACTAACTAACTAACTAACTAACTAACTAACTAACTAACTAACTAACTAACTAACTAACTAACTAACTAACTAACTAACTAACTAACTAACTAACTAACTAACTAACTAACTAACTAACTAACTAACTAACTAACTAACTAACTAACTAACTAACTAACTAACTAACTAACTAACTAACTAACTAACTAACTAACTAACTAACTAACTAACTAACTAACTGACATTCTTTGAAAACAATGTACTTTCAGTATAGAATGATCAGTTAACGAATTTTTTATATTTCGATATCTTTGAGTCGTTAGAGAACTGTCATCATATCACTTGTTTATCGTACTAAAAGAATCTGCTGCACTGACTCCCTAGAGAAAAAAAGCCCTTACTTCTTGAAAGAATCCTGGTGGAAAATGGATATCCAGAACGATTTGCAGGAGAAAAAACATGAAACCAAAGGTAAGAAGAGAATATTGTAATTTTGTGGCAAAGAAAATATAGCCCATGAGCCTGTGCTTTTATGCCTGGCCTTTCAAAAAAAGTGTTAGATAACACTACTTAGCATGGTTACAGCAAAGCGGTATTTTTTTCAATCAAAAGCAATGTAACCGACCACCTGATGAACATCCTTCCCATTTGAACAGACTCATCATTAAGAAACATTTACACGTTAAAAAAAGTCTACCAAAGGCGGTTGTTTTCGACTTATTTGTAGTGCAAAGCCGTCAGCATGTACATCGCGAGGTCAAAGCTGTATATGCAAGCGGAACATGTCCAACCATTATTACATTTACCAGAGATCTAGTTCTGTGTTGGTCAGTTAGTTGTCGTATTTCTTCATTCCCTTCATATTTGCCACCGTCAGTTATGTAAACCGCTGTTCCAATTTGTCTCCCACGTACATTCCGTACATTCACACCTGTTTTCTTTAAGGTCCTATTTTGCAAACTCAGCAACCATTTCTCTAGTCATTTGTAATTTTGTTACTATGCCTCTTGTGTTCAATATATTCAGCTTTCTTCACACCATCGAACTTTTATAGCAAGTTGGAAATTATTATCTCAGTTAATTCCCCTTCATTATTATTTTGAATCAAATACTAATAATTATAACTACGTGAAAATTTATATTAATTTGTTGGATGGTGACCAGCAGTGGAATCCAGGATGTGCATTTCATCCTATTTGGGAGTCGTCAACTGGATTTGCCTGTGTTCCCCAAATGCGCATCCTGGATTCCACTGTTGATTACCATCCACTTAATTTCTTCAAGTTAGTTCTCAGACATCTCGTTGAAGCATCTACACTCGGAACCGACATGTCAAGAGAAGCCGAACATTTTCGGTCCAGTCAATCCACAGGAATAAGGTGAACATAGAGAAAACAGAGGTGATGAAGATTCCTGGCCAATACCACTAACAGCAGCAACAACAACAACAACAGACAAAAATCAGCATAAATGGAAGGAACCTGAAAGGAAAAAACCTCCTTTACATACCCACTAACCTGAGAAGCATCGTTTCAACTACAGGCAGACGGAACTGACGAGGATATCAAAGCGAGAATCGGAAAAGCAAGACAAACTTTCATTACTCTCAAGTCTGTGTGGAGGTCAACAGCACTCATCATTAAAAATAACATCCGGATTTTCAACTCCAATGTGAAGTCAGTCAGTGCTACTCACTATACGGATCAGAGACTTGCACTGCGAGTCATAAAGAGCATCTCAAACAAACTACAAACCTTCATCAACAGTTGTCTTCGCTCAATAGTTCGCTCAAGATCAGATGGCCGGCCAGAGAAGATCAGCAACAGAGATCTCTGGCAATGAGCGAACCAACTCAGCAGGAACCGACTGTGAAACAAATAGGCTGGAAGAAATGGAGATGGATTTGCTGGCCATACTCTGAGGAAAAGATCAAGTGAATGACATCACTAGACAAGCCATTGCTCGAGTGGAACCCGTAAGGGAATCGGCGAGTTGGTCGTCAGTGCATGGGTGACTTGGAGGTCATGTGAAGAGGAGATGAAAATGTGTGTGCAGACTTTGAGCCAGGTGAAGATTCTAGCAGAGAACCGAACTCAATGGAGACTTGTGGCTGAAGCCCTATGTTCCTCTAGGAATTAAAGGAAACAATAATAATAACAATCCGCAAGAAAATTAAAATTGAATAAAAGGTAATATATGAACTTATGTGTAGTAATGTGGTCATACAGCTTTTGAAAACGAAACCGCTGAAAGGATATCCCTCACTCTCTTGTGTGTTTCCCATGACTTTGAACAATGGACTTAACTTACATTTTTTCTTTTTTCCCACAAAAATTATCGCCTAATACTTACCTGAAACATTGTGTCCACTGGTTGTGGACATGAAGGTGGTAATTTGTCAGCCATAAAAACTTTCTTCGGCTGCGGAGTCGGTTCAACAGGCTTTTTGAAACGTAATGGTCCAGTAGGCGATTGAGCATAACGTATTCCTATATTAATTAAAGAAGATAATTATAAATAGTAATTTGAGTGTGGAATGTGGTTGAACAACAACAAGATAAGTGGCAAACGACCTCAATTTACTTGGAGATATTCACAGAGATTTAATCAATATAACGTCTACAACAGTTACTCTAAGCCACGTAGGAAGGTGCAGACTGGCTTTCTCGTTGGGGTCCTCGGGACGGTAAAAACCAATGGTTGGAAACAATTGGTGACATGGCTCAAAATCGTTCTCAATGGCGCAGATGCATACACTCCTTGTGACTTATGATTTCCAATTAAACTGTTTTGTTCTCCGTTATTACTATTCCTTTGTCTCACACCTCTGTTTACTGTCTATATTATGCATTTCTTCTACTTTCTTCTCTTGCTTTGTGTGCTACAAGGAGGGAGTGTGGCGACTTGAACTGGTGCACATCAGTGCAAAGTTCTATGTCGAAAACAGACAGACAGACAGAATCAATATAACTTCATACAGTTGTTGGCAAGTGAATCATGGATGCACCAAAAAGCCAGTTTATAGTAGAAGTTATAATGACAATAGTAACTGAGGGAAACTCGTGTGTCTGACAAAATTGTCCACTCTAAATCTCAAGCAGAGCTCTCTGACCATCAGTAAAAAAGCTTAATAAATATGTCTGAACATAGACTTCCCGACTTGGCTGGAAGGTGAGTTCCGTTAGATGATTGTTAAAAAAGAGCAAAATAGCAGAAATTAGAACTCATGAGCCATTCGACTTCAATCCAGCGGCTGAATGTTTAATGGACTTACTCCTGGTAGAGTTATAGATGTGTAAGGATAAGGGGTGCCAAACTAGGACGCAACAATAGTCTAATAGTCCATGGTATCAATGGTTCCTCGAGTGGAGTCAGTTTGTGATCTAACTAGAATGCAATCTGAGGCTCTAGAGTGAAACAACTGGAGATTATATTAAAGGTAGGCATGTACAACGTGATGAATAAGGTCCAAGCAGGATGAGAGACGCATACGTAGCATAAGAACCAACTATGACGGTGCGTATCCTCCGAGGGTAAAACAGTCACTAACAACTTCGCAGTGGATATATACTACTGGACACCTTCATACTGCGAAATAGGAAGGATGCCACGAAAGCTCCAGACCTTCCAGTTAGCAAACGACCACTCCATAGATGTAGGTCAGAAAGGCTCAGAAAACAGACAGCACACACTTCTCTTCCAAAGGACAGAGGTAATATTTGGGTCTATATCTTGTCTGAAAAGGTGGGCCAGTTATAGTTTTTTCATACATATATAGACATTGGCCCATATAGTAGTGTTGTTTCCTCTCGTAAATATACTCCTTTACAACTCACTTTAATTCTATGTGCCTAATCAAGTGATAGGCCGGAAACCAAGTCACCGTTGCATAACGTAGGTGCCTGATAAGTGGTACAAGGGACCACTGCATCTGTTAATAGCTCCGGTGTCCCTATCAATCCAACAAAACGTTTTCAAAATGTGAAATAAGTAGTATCTTCCGTGAGATATCGTCTGCAAGAATCTAGTACGGTGGAGAAGTGTATTAAGTTGCAGTGAGGAGAAATGAAACAAAGACAAAAGTATCAGAAAGCTAAGAACTTTTGCGAAGGAGAACTTCAGCGAAAGATTTCCACATTTCACCATCACTGCATATCTTACGCTAAATAAACAATCTACCACCACTTACTTTTGTGTTCTGCTGTTACATTTGCCTGCCATGTTTCCCTCCCCCGCCACCACCCAACTTAGTAGACTTGGACAAATCATCCTCTAACAGGTTATCCATGCTCCCCACCGATGCTTAGCCTCTTCACTTAATCAACACGAGTACTCATATGTCAGGACTCCTGGTGCTGCAAAACTCTGCATCTTGGCCGTGACACAAAAGTCAGCTGCAGAACGTACTAGTATTTGATAGAATATTCATGTAGAAAGTGATGTATATAGTGATCCCCGAATACAGACGGGTTAGAGTGAAGTTTCCACTAACAAAAATATTTTTACTAATCTGTTTCATTTGATCGCCTTTCATGCCCACGCTGTTGTTTCATAAAAGATTTCTCATTTCTCCTCATCGCTACGTGATGCGTCCTTCTATTATTCAAGATTCTTGCAGAAGACGTCAAATACACAATATCTACTTATACATACTTATAAGTAGTACAGACCATAAGTTATGCAAAGAAATGAAACAGACCAATAGCACCGGTGGCACAGCGGTAGAATGCTCGCCAACCACGCCTAATGTGGTCCGAGGTTCGATTCCCGGTCACCAACGCATTCCTTTACCTCGCTAAGCCAGTAATTAGACTGGTAAAGAGGGAAGGTTGAGCATAACGCTGGCTAGCAACTCTATCCAGTAAAAATAAACACCACTGCTACCGAAACTTTAAGCCTCTATCTTGAAGCCCTACGTTCCACTGGGAACGTAAAGGAACCAAAATAGAATATAAATAAATAAAATCTTGGATACTTTGATCTCTCCCATCGCTGCGCATCAGTTCAGATATCTCTCGGCGTTACATACATACAGTAAATTCAAACGATTCCAAGGATTTCTAGCTATGTTTTTTACGCACAGCTGAAACCCTACCATTACTTGAAAACTTTGTAAGCCTTAAATAGTTAATTCATCTGTACATTTTCGCTTATACAACTGGAAGTCTGATGCATCTGATTCTAAACATATACAGTGACACAGTCAAGATTTTCGTAATTCGTGGTGAGAATAAATTTTACAGTTAATGCATTCATGAATTAATATCACTTATTGAACTATCTAGAATCATATATATATATATATATATATATATATAACTAAGTAGTGTTTAGGATGCTCACTGGCCCCGCACGTCGTACAAGTTCAATTCCCGGCCAACACACAATTAATCTTCGCGTTAACTAGCAGAAATAACAGAGAGAATGAAAGATCTACTGGATGCATAACTCCTCCCAGATCCGGAACAATCTGGATTAAGGAAAGGCAAATCATGTGCTTATCAAATTGCAACTCTAGGCATCATCACCAAGCAGAACATAGAATGGTAACCCACTCATACTCTACTTCAACTTTATTGACTTCGAAAAGACCTTTGCCAGACCGCGTTGACCGAGAAATAATTTGTAAACTACTTCAATACTATGGAGTACAGTACCCCGAATCTATATCAACCTCGTTCAACAGCTATACGAGGGTGCCACGTGTCAGGTGCTCCACAATAGAAAACTCAGCGAGGCGTTCAAAGTGCATACAGGAGTAAGACAAGCTGGCTGGCTGCCTATTATCACCGATGATATTCTTAATTGTGGTGGACTGGATTATGTGACACACCTTGCGTGGGGAGAGAGGGGACAGGATTATGCTAGACTGTATGAGATCTGGATTTCGCGCGAGAATGATTTAAGTTGATTGTCACACACACACTCGAAGACCAGCAGGCGAAAAGCAACGAACTGGTAGAAGGAGCAGACGGCGAAGGGAGGACTCCAGGGAAATATAGAGAAGACGGAGGTGAAGAAGATAAGCGACCGACCAACAGCAACAACAACAGTCACCAATCACCATCAACAGGGAAAATTTGAATGAGGTTACTTCCTTCACTTATCTAAGAAACATAATTTCAGCCGCAGACGAAAAGGATGAAGATGTCAAAGGCAAGCAGAAACGGAAAGGTAAGATAGACCTTCATCAAAATTTGAAACAGCCTGTTGCAGACTTTTTGTCAACATCTGTCTTCGCTCTGTACTGAAGATCAAATGGCCAGCTAGAAAGAATTGGTAACAACAGACTATGGGAACTTAAAGTTCAACAAATATGTGGGAGAAAATGAAGATGGATTGGGCATTCACTTCACAGTGAAGGCCGTCGGCTGACATCTCACGTCAGGTCATCATTCGAGTGGAACCCAAATGGGAACCCAAGGGGACAATAATAATGATAACAATAATGTTACCCATTGTAAAACAGTTAATGCGCAACCAAAACAGTATTTTAATTCAAAATAAAATCAAAAAATATTTTCAAAAAACAAAACAAAACAAAAGAAACAATTACCATGATAAATATCAACCATTGATGCTGGTCCACTTGGCCAATGAACAATTTCACGTATACCACAGTAGATTCCAACAGATGTATGCGTGATTGGGCTATCTGGTGAGCATAAATTTGTTTTATCCGCAGTTGGGAGACCATGACCAATTTGACTGATAGTAGCTGTCGATGTGGGATTTTCACTAAATGGTGCATAAACTTTATTCATTTCTTGAAGTATACTTAATCCATAAATTGTCAATAATTTTAGTAGAATTAAAGTAATTAATTCTATCGAAAAATTCATCTTTATGAACAGATCTAGACTAGACTGACAACTTTCTTTTCTGTGATGTTTCACTTTCAAATTTTACTGATAATTAAAAAGAAAACAACTTTTTAGATTACAGGAGATACAACTTCGAAATAAGTATAGTTTCTTCTCCCACTACTTTCATTTTATTTTGTCATATGTTTTAATGCATTACAAAATAATCTTCAACTTCAATGCTTTAGTTAGTCAGTTAAAACAAACTGTGTAGCGATCGATTAGTCAAGGTCATTTCATTCCAATGGCATATTGAACACGTCAACTGTAGGTTATGCGTATGTTTTAAATAAATAAATCAGCGTGTAGAAGAGAGAGAGGTGAAGGAAAAAGAAGCAAGAAAAGAAATAAAGAAGTAGACAAAATATGTGTAATAATACTAAACACATTGTGTACATTAATTGGTTGATAAGGGGAAGAAAATTTCAGAGATTACAACTTCTATCCATTTTTCCAATAAGTGTTAGGTTTTGAAACACAAATGAGGTGAATTGTGCGCTGGTGTTGTTTTTGTTTTTAAAAAGCATTTCGTTTGTGAATTTTGTAGAAATTGTGTGTACCTATTCATTGTAAGACATGATTTTGAAAAACTACGGTAGGTATATAATGAATTTTACATCGATGTGTAAAGTGATAATGTGACTAGTTCCACTTGATTTGCTTTCACACATTTATTGGTCAGTAAGTAGGCTTTTGGTTGGTTCACTGACGGTGTTCCTTGTTCCTGCATGTAGTGCTTTATTATTTATTAGACAGTTTATAGAGACATGAGGCCTGTTTATACTTTCCGCGGTTGGTATAGTCATATTCAAATTATTTCGAATACATTTTCTTGTTTAACTCGTGGCTGCAAACAATTTTGTGGAAATACATGCATGACATACTTCACAATAAAGTGGCATATATCACGGCTTGGTTTGAAGAAAGAAAGTCAAAAGGTCAAGTGTTTCGAATAATTCACAATAATAATAATTTGCTTTATTCCAAGACAGTACCTGTGATAAAGAATGGAATTCTCAGCATTTTACTACAGTATTGCATCCAGTTAATACATTATCAATAAATAGAATTCTACATAGATTAAGGAAATCTCAGTTCATTATGACAACAACATATTAGTATGTCGGTAGCAAAGCCAAAGTTGAACAGTGTTTGAAGGTGTTAGAAAAGTGGGAGCTGTCATATTTACTGGCGTAAGCGAGAGATAGAAACATAACGGAAAAAGAGAGAGAGAGAAAAGAGAAAGAAAGAAGGGAAATGATGTACCTATAAATGATATGAGTTGGAAAGACGAGGTCCAGTTGTTCCACTGACTATTTAATGAATTATAGGTATCATGCCTAATGTTTTCTTTATCGTACAGAACACGAACTAAGTAGGGTATGGTGGAGCTTTTGTACTTGCTGGTGCGAGCATATAGTTTTCTATATCGGCTTCTGGTTTCGCCTGATGAGATGCAAGGGGAGAGTTGTGAGTGAAGAGGGTGGTGTGAGTTAGATGAAATGGATTTGGCCCATTTTTCACATGAGTCCATGTGCCTGTCAACCAGAATATTAACAAGCTGGTTAAGTGGCACGTTGCTTACCCTGCTGACAACCTTTAACATCCTGCGTAATATGTTATAGTCTTTCTTCAGTAGCCCGGGAAAAACTAAGCCCGGGGAACAATAGAGAATAATAGGCAGAATGCGAGAGTTAACGAATTGTAGGTAGGAGTAAGGGTTAGGTTATACCAGAATGTTTTAACTTCTTGATGTAGAAGGTAAGACGGGATATTTTCTTAGAAATTGCTAAGATATGAGACGATCAGGAAAGATCAGCAGATAGAATGACGCCTAGGTGTTTAATTTGCGACTTGGTTTCTATTTCAGTGGCATCAATGTTGCACACCTCACGAGAGCCAACCAATTTGTTTAAGTAAGATTTGTGCCTAAATGTGAAATTGACTGTTTTGCATTTGGAGGGGTTTTAGGTAAGATATATTATATTATATCACCTTCAACTAAAGGGTGGGGAGCTTCAGTGGGTGTAATGCTCAGCAACCCTTCCTGTAATAGTGTACATCTGTGGGCGATTAAAGCATTTTTCCTATCGCTCATAAAAGATGAAACGACAAATTATATAAGGATTTTATTTGCAGTCCAATGACAGAAGCCCTGGCCGACGCACTTGCAGACTTTGATTAGCTCACTAGTCTATTGCAAGCTCAGAAAAGAGGTAAGGTTAGGTGTGAAGCTAGGAGTACTATCCCTTGGCAAATCAACGACATCATCATCTCTGCTGAAACTCCAAGAAAGTTTGAAGCGGTAGTTTCCACTAGGAATGTAAAGGAAGATGAAGGGGAGATGTAAGTAAGTAGTCAAGAAATAGAAGTTACTCCGAATGACTGCAGATCTCTACCAACTTATGTGAATGCAATACAAACACTATGCCTGCCGAAAAATTGGCAGAAGAGGTAGATAGTGAAGACAGGATTCCAGGTGAACATAGAGAAGATGCAGACAAAAGTGATGAGGATAACCAACCAACCAACAGAAACAGCAAACAGCGCCAGTCATCATCATCGGGAGATATTTGACAGAGGTTACCACCTTCAGCTATTTGTCTGGGAAGCACGGTATCAACCACAGGCAGGCGGAACGGATGACGATGTGAAACCTAGCCAGAATCGGAAACGTGAGATACACCTTCAACAACCTGAAAGCAGTTTGGAAATCTTGTGCACTGCACTCACTTAGCATGAGGAACGTGATCCGGATTTTCAGCACAAATGTAAAGTCAGTCAGTTAGTCAGTCCCTCTAAATGGGTCAGAAACTTGTTTAAGCCTTCACGGAAGGCTTTTCCATCAGTATCCTAAAGACTTTGATCAACAACTGCCTTCACTGGTTCCATCATGAAGATCAAATGGCCCGCCAGCCCGACGGAAAGAATTAGCAACAATAAACTCTGCAGTGAAACAAACCAACTTAAAGAAGCGATTGCTCAACAAATATGCATGGGAAATCCGAGATGGATAAGGCATACACCACTGAGGAGGCATTCAAATGGGATTGCATTCCATGTGGCCATCGTTCGAGTGGATTCCTGATGAGGAGTGGCGAATGGGTCGTTGTTCTAAGGGTGACATGGAAGAGATCTTGTGGTGAGGAGGAAATCAAAGATTATGAGCAATAATTGACTCAGCTGAAGAACACAGCAGAAAATAGAACAAACAAGGAGATGTGTTGTTGAAGCCCGATATTCCACTCGGAACCCAAGGGAATAATAATAATGTAGTATGCGTGCCGTACTAGTACCTTCCTTATTGAAAAATGAGAATTATAGTAGGCTGTATCAGGGTGGAAATGAGTTACAAATGTACCCAAATAAAACCCTGAACCGATGTTGATAACAAAATTATTAACATTGGTAAGAATGTGTTCAGTCTTCTGCATTTCTAATTCATGGGGCCTTTAATTCCTGCCCTTGTGAAGTGCTGCAGACAGAAGATCTCATCAATGTGACATCATCTAGCATGGCTAAGTAACAAATTTAATCCTGACAGTAAATTAAATCAAATTTTTCATGGTAAATTGGTTCAACTGTGAAAATATTTTCAGTTGTAGAAGATTTTCAATTTGTTTGTTATTCTTATAATGGCCAAAACCGGCATATGTTTGTTGTATTCTGAACTCAGGCAAGCGATCTTTGCATCCTTCTATATAGCTGACCAGACTTCATCGAGACGACGAGTACAGTTACGCTTCAACGCTTGAAAGACAGCAAGAAGACGATTTCAATTTGAACAAAGCAAGAACTACAGTTTTAGCGGAATAAAATGGCACCATCTTTTATTTCATTGCCTTCTCATCAGCTGCATACAGGGCAAAGACATTATTAAATGTATCTACAAAAACAATTTTAACATACTTGCACAGACAGTTCATTTTTAAACAAAAATCAGTCGATCAATATATGCATACAGTAGAATATATACATATGTATTTATATATGCAATATTAAACACTATTCCGAACAATAATAATCATACACAATGAAAACTTTTCAGTATCTCGCATTCGGATGAAAAATATCAAGTTACCAGGGCAAAGAAAGACTGATAACCGTTTCTTTTTGAATGCAGAAATCAGGTTTCAGGTGTTTGATGGAAATGGCTTCAGAAAAAACTTAAGGAGAATTGAGCTCTTTTGCCTATTGATAATTTTGAACGACTTTTCGACGTCCACCTCATGACCCGTGTCGAGAAGACACCTGGCGATGGCACTGTTTAAAGCATTTGTTCCCTTTAGACGTAAGCTTTTTGGTACATGTTCAGAAAATCGTAGATATGCTCTTCTTTCTGTTCTTCCAATGTAACTGCTTCCGAAGATACATGTAAATTTGTGTATACATATGGAGTTAACATGAGAAGGATATCTATCAAATTTTCATTGCATCAAAGAGGAACTAGCTTAGCTGCAGGATAGGCTATGGATAGTAATGTACTCAGCCTTCTGTTGATCATCGCTGCAATGTTTCCACCTTTATAATCAAGCTGAAAAGAGGTTGGCGTTTTTCCTACTGTGATTTGTTTTACATTTGTGACTTCAGATCTTCCATACTTGTTGATGAACCTTTGAGGGTATCCATTGCTCTTCCATATCTTCTCAAGAAACTCAAATTCTTCCTCTAATTTCTCTATAGAGCATATTCTCCTGGCTCTATAGTACAGAGTCTTGACTAGTGCTCGTTTATAGCTATTCGGACAAAAGCTATTAAAATGTAAGTATTGTCCTTTCCATGTGGACTTACGATAAATTGACTTTTGAAGACTACCGCCTTCTAGGCGTTCCATGGCGATGTTGAGGAAGTGGAACTTCCCGTCACTTTCATGTTCCATTGTGAACTCAATATTGGAGTGTGCATCATTGAATAATCTTAGTAAGTGTGAAGCATGACTTTCATTTTTGCACAATATAAATGTGTCATCAACGTATCGA